ACGAGGTACGTGTAGGGCACAAACCCATAAGTAAATACTGGCACTTTGCCAAAGTATGTACGTTACTTCAGCGAGATAACGCATTGATCGCCCCAACTGACATGTACAATACGTGTTCAAACCATGCACAAGCATTACATACAGATTCATTGATTGCCTTTCCAGACTGATACACAAATCAAGATACACAAATCAATTTAACTGAGGTGAGGTGAGGTGAAATTGGGTTTAACGTCGCGTCCAAGATTATTGCACTTATCTAGCGACGTGCATGCACGTGTATGTGTGTGTGTGGCTGCTTGTACCAGTCCGGACTGATGCCGATTTATAGTGCTAGCTCACTGAGATACCATGCCGCAGTTTAACATGAATACCCCACTCAGACACAGTATACTGACTCCGAGCCGACCAGTCCTTGTTTTAGCCCCTTAATGCCGAGCGCCAGACAGGGTGACAACAAGTACAATCTTTTAACGTCTTTTTGTATGACGCGGCCCGGGATCGAACCCTGGACCTTCCGCTCTCCGGGCGGACGCTCTACCACAAGGCCACGGAGGCGGTCCAATTTAACTGTGTTGCATTATTTAATACATGTGCTCGGACTTAATCCTGTCCACAACGAATCCTAATGCTTTTTGAAATGTTGCCATCATGTCAGCACCCTAAATGTAGTTGATAGGTTCACCCTTTCGATTATGCTACCTCTGAGTCCCTCAAACCCCAACGCATCATGGAATACTGCTGGTTGTCCAGGGCTAAACTACATATGACCGGGTGATTTGACAGGTGATTTAAAAGACCAGAAATCACTCATGGCACAAATAGATAACCCAGGTAATATACTGTAATTTCATAATGTTTATATGACATAGAACCGAGATATTTAAAATTGTTTTTTAATTTGTTTTATTTTTATTTTTGATTTTGGCTATTATACCTTTAGTGCATTTGAGAAGAAACTATTGTATAAACTGTCATCAATGATCTGTCAAGCTTAATGTTTGGCCTGATCCAACCTACTGATTAAGCCATAGTAACTGAACAGCTGCGATGTATCACGTCATCTTCAATAATGCGTGACAATGCTGCTGACATTAAAACAATGGAAGAGAAATGAATAAGACAATCATAACGACGAAAACTTACTATTAGAGTTATTCTGAACTGTCTCACGTTTTAGAACGAGATCTGTTGTCAAGTAAGTAGGATAAAACGTTAATATATCAATGAGTTTTCTGGGAACCGTACCGTCCAGATTAACAGGGTTTCAGTGTTACTGTGCTACACATATTCCTCTGTGCTGGTGTTTCATTGTAACCATAAGAAGTATTCTCTGTCAACTGTAGTCGGCCCCATGGCAAATAGTATTTAATATTTAATCACATCTGTAACGCACCGACGCGGAAGCTCTGGCGCAAGCATGAGGAAATCGATATTATTTGTGTATTGTATTTGAGGACAACATTACACTATTTTCCTTATGCTATTTAGCACCTGTAATCTAGGGCGTGACGACCACGGTAGCTTATGGATTATCTGTTTTTCATTGTCCTCTCTGTTGTCGGTAAACATAGTAAAATCGGCATACGTGTTGCTGAAAAGCTATTCTATCGCGGATCTTCACGTTCGTTTTGCCAAGTCATGCAATATCCGGAATACTAAGACTTTCAGATCTTTAAACACTGCCATATTATTTGTGTCACATTTCTGTTGGACACCCTACACTCTCCCGCACGAGCTGTCATGGAATGCATTGAGATCGAGTCCTCTCAGGTCACGATGACATAGGCGTTATCTCGTATACGTGGGCATTGTACCGTAACACCACCACTTGTTGACTTATGTGAACAACTACCTTATGGGCAATGTGTGATTCCAGGCAGGATAGTGTGTTCAGCGCAACCTGCACCAATAATATACATGTAGGAAACCCATTTCAATCGTGGCTTGCTTCCTGGAGAATTATACCTATGGGCTGATACCTTTTGTGCCATGTGCTAATGTGGGATATACGTTGCCTACATGATATGCATATTTACACAGCTTACATACATAGACTACATACACAGAGTACATGCGAAGACTACATACACAGAGTACATACATACACTACATACACAGAGTACATACATAGACTACATACACAGACTACATACATAGACTACATACACAGAGTATATACATAGACAACATACACAGAGTACATATATATACAACATACACAGAGTACATACGAAGACTACATACACAGACTACATACATAGACTACATACACAGAGTACATACATAGACTACATACACAGAGTACATACATAGACTACATACACAGAGTACATATATAGACTACATACACAGAGTACATACGAAGACTACATACACAGACTACATACATATACTACATACACAGAGTACATACATAGAGTACATACACAGAGTACATACGAAGAGTACATACACAGGCTACATACATAGACTACATACACAGAGTACATACATAGACTACATACACAGAGTATAAACATAGACTACATACACAGACTACATACATAGACTACATACACAGATTACATACATAGACTACATACACAGATTACATACATAGAGTACATATACAGAGTACATACATAGACTACATATACAGAGTACATACATAGACTACATACACAGAGTACATACATAGACAACATACACAGAGTACATACATAGACAACATACACAAAGTACATACATAGACTACATATACAGAGTACATACATAGACTACATACACAGAGTACATACATAGACTACATACACATAGTACATACATAGACAACATACACAGATTACATATACAGAGTACATACATAGACTACATACACAGACTACATACATAGACTACATACACAGATTACATACATAGACTACATACACAGAGTACATACGTTGACTACATACACAGAGTACATACATAGACTACGCAGGTGGTCCTTCTACCTCCCCGTTCAGTGCAGTGTTTTAATTCTTTTTATGTTATTTATTCAAAAGTCTGTGTGGATGCTGATGCCTGCCAAGCAATAATCCATTGTTGGATGAAAGCATGAACTTTCATTCTGCAATAAGCGAGGAGTCGTCAAGAATGCAATATTTTAGCTTTTTTAATAATTAACTCTTTGAACATCCTCCGTAATACTGTTTATTGTAGGCGCCTAATTTATCTTGTAAACTATAAAAACAACCAACATATTATAACACATATTATAAATATATCTTCTGGGTATTCCAATGTAGTTTGCGATTAACTTACGCATCAAAAGCCTTACAATGCCTTCCTTACATACCTCTATTTCATAACCTTAAAATGTAGAGGATCATGAAATATCATGTCTGTAAAAGACATTTGATAGTTTGCATGTGCCGCACGCAGTAGCGACACACACGTGCGTAGGTCGATTAAGCTCCGTGGACCATTTTCTACTGATCATTGAAGTGTCATTTAAGCTATAGTCACACAGACAATTCGACCGCGGTGCAACCTCTTGGCGGCTGATTTCTTTTGCGACCGACTGGCGATCGCTGAGACTGGTGCAACTACTTCTGCCCATATTTGGAATAAGCATATGATCGCCGATCAATCAGCGATACGTTTTGCAACTTGTCAGTGATTGATCGGCAACGGTTCACCGCAGATACGGCGAAATGTTTGCAACTGTTTGAGACCGATCGGTGACTAGTCAGCTAATCTTAGAAATCGCTTACATGCAACTGAACCCCATGCTCGACGGCCACATATATTTGTAACAGGCGTCAATGGTGTATACAACGTCGAAACTGGTGTAATCGTCGTTAGTTATGATAGGCGTGGTCGTGTCTGGCGACGTCAAAATGAACGTCAAGCCAAAGTCAACTTGTTGCCTCATGACAGATTTTACCGGTCATGGTGTGGGGTGGAATCACAATGACTGACTGAACACCACACCACACCATATTGTGCAACTGGGCACTGACACTCGTTGTTGTCCGTCTTTCAGGACGACAACTCCCGCGCTCACCTCAGGCAGGACAACAGCCATAGAATGCCAAGGCAAGCAATGAGCCAAACCTTTGCCGTCATTGATCGCGTCCGGTTCATGATAGAGAGACGTTTGCGTCAACATTATAGGCCACCGACCACGTTGCCTGAACTTGGCCAGGCGCTACAAGAGGAGTGGGACAGAATGCCTCAAATCGTCATTGACAGACTTTGTTGTCTAGTCGTGTGAATGAATGTATGACAAATCGTGGCCAAACATGTCAACTTTCCCATCTTATCCCTTTCGTCCTTAAGGATTGTTGGCGATCATAATATCTACTGTCATACTTCACTATCGGGTGTAATTTCTTCATTATTACCTCACAACTATTACAAGAAACTAATATGGCTAGCAATTTATTAAATGTCAAGTTGTTTCCGAGTATCCCCTACCTTTTTATAAGCTCATACAAAGTTGGTACTTCCACCACCATTTTGCCTTTTACATCCAATGGAATCTGTTCGGCGAAAAATCGAAAAAGATTATTCTGTGGCGTTGGCATTTTATTCTTACACACGGTACCGCGCATGATGAGAAGCGTTTACCTTCCCCGATTGTTCCTCAGCCATGAGTGCCTTATAAACGCGTTCTAGGGTAATATATTTTTGAGTTGTACTGTACAAATATGTCCATTGCCACAGCTACAACACAGGCCACCCAAAGGAAAATGTAACCTCTGCGTACAATTTCTGACGACCTCGGTTGAAACATGAAAAATCCGTTGGTGCATGTGTGGATCAGTAATTGTGAAAATACACTTTCTTGGACATATGAAAGGAAAACTGAAAGGAACTAATACGCACGTACGTACGCACGCACACACACACACACACACACGCACGCACGCACACACACACACACACACACACACACACACACACATTGTAAAGTGTTTAACTAATTTGTGCCTTATCTATGTGATTTTTGCAATAAAATGTTTAAATCAAACCTGTTAACATCCATGCTCGACGAATCCTTTAGACTCCAGATACACGAATTGATCTGACTCAATAATAAATCAGGATCTGATTCAATAAATGCACTACACATACCCAGAAGTAACACGCTGTCACATTTTCCTGACTGATAAGATTAAATCCAGTGCACAGCCAATCATAAATGGCCTAATAAGTGTTTAGCATACAACAGTGGCGGTGCAATCTGAGGTACACTGTTGGGTCTCGTAGGACAGCCAGAAGCTCATGTTCGCCCTGATGATGTTTCTAGGTTTGTCAGCACCATAAACATAGTTATGTTTTTTTTATATGGGTGCGGCTCACCCATTGGAATCGCTTAACTCTGTAGTGTTTATTTCTCACAAATTAAGCGATAAAACCCTTTCCATATCCAATAGATATATTTGCATAATCGTCGTTTGTACGATTCCGACAATATCATGAGCATGTATTTATACTATCAAATAATGATGACACCAGGTTTCTCGAAATGGTGCTCGCAAACACCTACCCATCTTATCGTCATATAAACGTAAAATTATTGAACGCTTTGGTAATGAGGAAAATGATGCAGCTAATCCCAAACATTAACTTGAAAAAAAGGAACTATTGCAATTAATATTTCAGAATGATTATAAATAAAATTTAGCCCTCGTGTCTTTTAAAACTTTAAGAAACAACTACCGTCGAAAAAACTCTCCGGAAGGTCTAAATGTAGGAGTTCTGCTCCTTTAATCATTGAGGCGGTCGGGTAGCCTAGTGGTTAAAGCGTTCGCCCCTCACGCCGAAGACCCGGGTTCGATTCCTGACATGGGTACAATGTGTGAAACCCATTTCTGGTGTCCCCCGCCATGCTTGTGCTGTAATATTGTTAAAAGTGGCGTACCATACCAACTGCTTTAATGATTAGTATGTTATACCAAAAGACACTGACTATCATGGAAACTGTCATCAGAAGTATCAGATCACTATAGAATACTATCACTGTTTTACGAATAATATACGTAACAACACATTACAGCATTAAAAACTTAAACTTAATTGTGACTCGATTTACCATAATTGGTTCCAACATGATTCCAGGATTTGTGCTGCAGGAGATGAATACACGCCTATAACCTGTCCAAAATCATATTTTGAATATGAAAATATGTCAGATTTGCTGGAAGAGTTTGAAACTCTCGTTCCTGCGTTTATATTAAGGTTTCACCCTATGCTTCTGTCATCCGTCCATGTCTACCCTCAAAAACGTATTCTTGTGGCGGGAGTTGGGGTATCCTGGTCGTTGAAGCGTTGAAATTATATCAGATTAGCTGTTTCGCGTCATACAACAGAAGATGTGTATGTTAACCCTGTACAGCAAGACAATTAGAGAGTCCATTAACATCCCCAAATTAGGAAATCGTAGATCCCTATAATCGTGGGTTCCAAACCCAAATCGTCATGATTATGTTTATCATTTCGTGAGTGTCATACCCGTGGTCATAGATTGTACACGCTGCATCACCTCGGCTTTCCCATTGCAGCTGAGACACTTTTCAAAGTGGAGTTCAACTATGTTTGCTAACCACTCATTTAAGTCGCATTCGAAATGTACCGATTGTTAATGAAAATTCCACCATTAATTTGTAAAAGACTCCATTCTAATGGTCAATCAGAGGCTCAGATCAAGATACTAAGTTGAAATCTTTTCAAGATACTATGTTGAAATTTCAAGATAATAAGTTGAAATTTCAAGATACAAACTAAAAAAATGGACCTAAAAGGCTTCCGTACAATTATTACAGTGTTCGTCTCGGTTTTGCCTTTGACGCCTAATGGAACGGATAAGCGAGAATAATTATTGTCTGGCGTTATCGTTTTATATTCTCTTATAATTGTAATAATTATTAGTATATGCTTTACGTTTGAGCTGTTACTAATTCTGACAATATTGATAAGCAATCAGGGCCCTTACCAGTCTTACAGCACATCACGTAAGTTTATAAAACGTTAACATTTCACAATATCTTTGGATCAATCCGGATTCATCTATGTTCGTGTGTTTTCTTATATTATTTTACGTATGTTTGTAGACGTCCACAACAGTACATTGAAGGTGAGGTTTCCAGACACGATATTTTACTGTATGTGCCTGAAGAAAAGTATCCATCCTTTACCTTGTTCGATTTGTGTTGCCTTTACGTTACCTTTTATATGATAATCTTGTTCTGTGTTCACCTTTGTCATCAGATGGCCTCACTGTTCCCTACACCTGATCTTTTTTTCATCACATATCTTTAATAATGTCAGATTTTGTATAATTATATTACTTCAAAAGCGTAATTAAATTCTTGCTTTTTGGGCTGTCAGTGTTACAGCATGTATAGGCTTAATGTAGTTTGGAAAATGCAATGTTTGATGGCAGACATGTGGAGGACATTTCCATATTTTTAACGCATCAGTGACATAATTCATGTCCAATGCAGCTCTTTTTTTTACTTGTATTCATGTGGACGTTTGACTTGACTTTGCATGTGTATGTGGAGGGTGCCACCAGTGAGGCAGGATACGGAACGCCTTTTGGTTTCATCACTAATTGATAACGTTTCAAAAACACATGTTGATAATATAGTTGCAAACGTTTGAAACAGACTGTGGTTTTAACAGATATTTATTATGATTATGGAATTAGTGTTATCGCTTTTTCCCCTAACATCCATGTCGATTTGTCCTTTGGAAATTAGTAGGTTTTGCTTCAACTGTTTAGCTTACGATCTACTTTAATGTATGTGTACCTTCTTCTGTAATATATTGGACCGCCTCCGTGGTCTAGCGGTAGAGCGTCCACCCGGACAGCAGCAAGTCCGGGGTTCGATCCCCGGCCGCGTCATACCAAAAGACGTGAAAAGATGGTACTTGATGGTACCCTGTCTGGCGCTCAGCGTAAAGGGGCTAAAACAAGGACTGGACGGCTCAGTATACTGTGTCTGCGTTGGGTATTTATGTTAAACTTCGGCATGATATCTCAGTGGGCTAGTAGCCCTTTAAATCGGCATCAGTCCGGAGTAGTACAAGCAGCCACACACACGCACGTGCATGAACGTCGCTATATAAGTGCTATTATATGGGGCGCGACGTGAAACACCTCACCTGTTTTACATTGGATTGCATCACAGAAGCTCCATCTTCACTCACTACGAGTGTGTTTATTATATATAAGAGGTTTGAGCGTATAATAAGGACCAGTTATTCGAACCTATAACGGATGGCAGAAACAAAAACTTGTTTCAGTCCTAGTGCTTTAGTTATATAGATGTGCCTATTTGTGCCACTCGGTTTCCTTGCTGTCCACACGATAAAACTGATAACCTCCCTTATGCTGGGGAGGTACATGTACATATGTTGTATCCGAAAACGTAGATTAACTGCATGTTTGTACATTTTGTTTCCTATTTAAAATAGCGAATATATAACGAGATTGTGGTTACAGATTACAGACTTATTGTGATCACTAGGCGTTAACGGGAGGTGGTATATGACTATATCATGGTTTGGCAAGAGCCTGTGTAAGTCTATGCCTCCTGCCTCATGGTTAGCAGTTAGAAGCCCCGTACCCGCAACATGAATTGATGTGAACAATTTTGCTGGAAATGAACAAAGACAGCGAGTCAGCTCACTGTCACGTCCCACTTGCACATGTGACGCTCAGTGCCATGCGCCTCCACCATGCATTAACGAGATGTACCGCTGCGTCGTTACACCGTGAAGGCTTGTCGATTGACCTACATATGACAGGCGCCCTGCACTCGAGAGGTTTGACTTCATTACGGATACAATAAGGTGAATATGTAGTACTATTATTTTATGGGAAGCACCTTCCACATTGTTATTACATTAATGTATAGATCCTCTTCTGGGAAGTAAACTTTAAGTTCAGATTTCTCCTCATAGTTAAGATTGTGATGTCGTGTTCGTAGTTCCACCCAGTAGTGTCAATTTGTAATTCTTAATACATGTTCGGTTGACCTGAAAGGTTATCCTGCCTAGGAGAGAGTTCAACCACAGACATCCATGTGACCTGTGATGGTAAATTTACTTTAATCCACACATCATAGCATTACACATCTATTTCTGTCCCGACTATGAAAATTAAAACGAAACAAGGAAGTATTTACAAGCGAGCCGGCAATAGCGCGTTTGCTGCCATGTCAACACAGGGTAGTACTGTACTTGATAGTTAATAGAATAATAGAGTTTAAGTACATATGTAAAGTGTACAGACATGTACATGTATAGAACCAGTGTAGTTCAGCTTTCTGAAATACACAATATCCAGCAATGTATGAGTTCAAAGGTTACCCATGAGTTATTTCCCTTGTCTATGTCTGTGAAATAAAATGAAGAAAGTGTAAACAGCAAATATTCGAGGAGTTTACACTGCTGTTAATGCGCGTGGCGTTGATAAAAAAAGTCTATGTTGATACAGACGTGTTTCCGGATTGTGAGCCAATTTTGTAAGCACATGCACATCTACATGCACCTGCATGACCTACCTACATCCCTATTGGGGGCGGTCGGGTAGCATAGAGGTTAATGCGTTCGCTCGTCACTCCGAAGACCCGGGTTCGATTCCCGACATGGGAACAATTTGTGAAGCCCATTTCTGATGTCCCCCGCCGTGATATTGCTGGAATTTTGCTAAAAGCGGCGTATAACCATACTCACTCACTCACTACATCCCTATCGCGGTGCATTCTCATAATATACTTCCATCATATCATTTACGCATAATAGACACATTTCATTCCTTGTGGAGCATTACATGGGAGTCTAATACATTGATATTCTTGGTATTTATACTGATATCAACCGTAACGTGGGTTTGCAAACACTTGTTGGTGTTTTTGCAGTGAAAGAAAAGGATGGAAGAGTTTGACTTCCCCCCAGTGCCATCATCTCCACCCAGCAGTCTAAATCTTCCACCTTCCGATGAGCCTGACTTAGAGTGGTGTTTGCGAAGAACGCATGATGTTGCTTTAATATATGCGGAGGACGACCAGGAGGAAGCTTTTAACATATTGACCGAAATGACTGAGGAAACAAACCTTGATGTCCGTCTGCAGACAGACGAGTGTTTTAGCGGAAGTCTTGTTGAGAAACCTGGGAGAATTGCCTCACAATGCTGGCTTGTGTTAGTAGTTCAAACACATAATACAACCAACGACATGGTAGCAAAATTCACTAAAGACGAACTAATTGTGAAAATTCGTATCACAGAGGCCAAGGATTATATTCGCCCCCTTTGCACTGAAAAAGGACTTCCTAACTTATCAGGTCTGGCATCTATTGAATCATTACTTTGGGATCCATCAGCCAAAACGAGAACGAAGAGAAAGATTGAGGACTTTATTATATGGCAAAAGGAACAAGATGTAACATGGCGCATCGAAAATTTGAAACTTGAAGGTAAAGTTCCACACAAATTGATGTCATATTTGTCCGAATAAAAACCTGCATTCTTCTATATCACTTCCATCAGGTTGCTCTTGACTTGAAACCTTTTAGTCCGAACCCCGCTACTGCCACAAAATCCTGGTTACACGATGGAAACATCAATTTATTGTCATGAGGACAGATACTCGAAACGGTGCCGTCCACATGTCTAATTATGTCTATCGGATACATCTACATCTACTTAGAAAAGGCAGCTATGCTTGTCGTAAGAGGTGACGAACGGGATCGGGTGGTCAGACTCGCTGACTTGTTTGATGCATGTCATCGCATCCAAATTGGGTGGATGGATGCTCATGAAGTCAATCACTGGGATATAGCTGGAATATTGCTGAGTGCGACGTTAAACAACAAACATCTACAAGGTATCAGTTTTTATAGGTCTCCCCAGGGCCCACTTACACGAAGTGATCTTAGCGCTAAGATGATTGTAACTCCCATACTTAGGCTTACTTACGATAGTCTTAGCGCTAAGATCGCTTCGTGCAAGTGGGCCCTGGTGGTTAATTGCAGGCTTTGTATAAATTCCTCAAAATACCAAAATGTCCATCGATGTTCTGTTTGTATGGACGTGACTTTGTGGCTGGTTAAACATATGCACAACGAATGAAGGGAATTTGATAATACTGGCTGGAAAACGCCTTAAAATCATTCCCGACAACACTCGCTACCAACAGGGTCTTTCGAAACTGGCATGTTAACTGTTGTTTTCTGTTATGATATTTTTGTGTCTTCCAAGTTCAACATGTGTTGTAAACATGATTTCACGATTTTCAATGATCCCTTCACATAATTCGCACCACTATATTGCCCCATTTTATGCCCAATGTAATCTGTTTCGGTAGAAAATCGAGACTGATTATTCACACATTATATTGCAGTAACATAATAAAACACATACGCTTGCAACCTAGGTACAGTACCTCTTGGTTGTTTGAGTCGATAGAGACCATTTTGTCATTGCGACAGAATGGAGAAAATGAAACTTGTATAGTACAGGATTTACTACATGAGTATGTTTCACGAAAATAGATTTGATTCTTTTCAGTGCAAGGGAACATTATATTGATTGACTGATGGAACAAAAATATACTTGAAAAGTATTTTGAAATGAACTTTACTTTCTAAAAGAAAACTAAACACCATTCACGAGTGTATATTTTCCAGATTGGAAAGGGATACCTTGTAAACTCTAATATTCGAAGTGATTCGCAATTTCTACCTCTTATTTCTTTTGAGTATTGTGGCGTCTAATTTTATCTTATAAATAAGACAATATTAGTGGAAGAACAAATATTTCATTTTCGGAAATATTATATTAATATTAACTGTTATATTGGCTACTTGATTGCAGCTCCGGTGAAACTCTGTGACCCGAATGACGGGAAAACCAAACGCCTCTTTTCCGATGTAAGTACTTTTGACCTGTTACTGTTACTCGGTCCTGTCGAGCTTCTTGTTTACACTATAAAGGCATGATTATTTATCGTGATGTAATAATCCATGATCGCCCAGATAAGTCAAGATAGATATATACAACAATCCATGTGATAGTGTTTTTGGTTTAACGTCGCTTTCAACAGTATTTCGGTTTCTGCGTTTAACTTTCATTTGGAGTGAGTGAGTGAGTGAGTTGGGTTTAACGCCGCTTTTAACAGTATTACAGTTATATCGCGGCGTGTCAGCTTAATGTGGGAGGAAAGCCCGAAGTGATGCAGGTCTCGGACGTTTACCACTTCGGTGAAACCCACGAGCACGGGTATGGTGCTGACAAACCTAGAAACATAATCGAGGCGAACCGGGATTCGAACTCAGAATCATAGGTTTCTGGCGTGCCCAAGGGACACAACTCTGCACAGCGAATCGCGGCGCCTTAGACGACTGGGCCACCCGAGCCCCCACTTTCATTTGGAAGGGAATCTAAACAGGTGCAGGACTCAGACGTTTACCAATATGGTGAAACCCATGAGCACGGGTAATATGACCCATACTGCATATACAGGAATGTATATATACAAATAACTTTAGGACAAGTCAACCCGGAATGCGACGACCTATACGACTTAACCACATTTCTTTTGCCCTTACAAAATCTTTAAACATAATGGAAACACATAATGGTTGCTTCTTCATGTTGTTAGTTACAGGTTTATGACATGAGTGGCGATAAAAAAGGGCTCCTGTTCATCATTAACAACTACGAATTTACAGATTCAAAAAAATATCCCAGCAGAGATAGCAGTTGTAAAGACGCAGAGTCTCTGAAAACATTGTTTGAGAAGTTTGGATTTAAAGTTGAAACGGAGAACAATCTGACAGCTCAGGTACTGCTTTGAGTTCATAGTTTTATTGAGAGATGGATACATAATTTATTGTGTTCATATACATTTATTGCGTTCATGTATCACCGGTCATAAATCTCACATGTGCATAGTGAAAAACAGAAACACGGTAATTTATAAGTACTGTTAACACTACGATATACGAGCCTTCTGTTTCAACATTTAAAACCAATGAAGAAGCCATTTCCTAACGGTAACATTGACACGTGGTACTCTTTTAGGTTTATCACATTCATGCCTGACCTTAAGCAACATTAAATAGAGATGTATAGAATGAACTGTTAATTAGGCCATTTCAAACGTTCTCGCGAAGCCTTCCCCTTCACAAGTTGAGTTTGATAATGAAATGTTGAAAATCAGAACAGACATTTGGTAAACCTTACATTGCAGGTCAACGACTAGCTCATAGTTTGACCATGTTTTTGAATTCAGCCTTTAAGTATATAATTTGATTACACATTCATTTGGTATCTTAAACTTTGAATTTTTTTTTCTTTCTAGTTGATGAACTGTTTGTTGTGCACAGTTTGTGACAAAGTCATGTTAATAGTGCTTCCTCTTTTCAGGGCATAATGGACACATTTGTGCAACAAGTCGAAGCATTTGAACAGAGTGGCTATCGCTGCTTCGCTACTGTCATTTTATCACATGGCATAAAAGGTGGCGTAGTCGGCACAGATGGCGACTCTGTGTCTATAGAAAAAATCAAGAATATATTTTTGGATGAACACTTGATACTTCACAAGGACAAACCGAAGCTGTTCTTTATTCAAGCTTGTCAGGAAGGCATGTGAGATACAAATATATCATTGTGAATCCTTTATTGCAACAACGCATTAATAATAACCCCTCCATACAATCAAGATAACTAGTCATGTTGGACACCTGAAAACAATGGATCGGTTGAAAAATAAGAAAACACTAATTTCTTTCTTTCTCAGGTCCGACTTCGCCCGATGTGACGCCTGACAAACCAGGCAAATTATCTCAGGAAGGCGAGTGAGCTACACATCTATAATTGTGAATCCCTAATTGCAACAATGTATGATATTAACCCTTCTATACAATAAAGATAATTTGGCATAATGGACATCTGAAGATAAAGGAAGCGTTGAAATATATGAAAACAGTAATTTTCTTTTTCTCAGGTCCGGCTTTGCACGCGGTGACTACTGGCAAACAATCCAAATTACACCCAGGAGCGCACTTTTACTGGACCTCAGCAACCGTGCCTGGTATATCCAATCATAGCTACCCATGATTGTGTAATTTTATATGAAGGAGTGCCTGGAGGTGTTTGGTTTACGCCATGTTCACATAGTACACTTGGTTCCTCCTGTGAACACTTCAGCATTGACAAGTACTATAAATTCATCCTCTCATTTCAAATATCCAAAAGTCCTCCCTGCCACTGATATTATGTACCATTATCAAGTTTTTGTACCATTGCTGTCTGGACGTGGCGTTTCACCCTCTTACTCATATTCATATTCTCACGTAAATATTAAGAATGCTACACTTGATAATTTCTGAGGCCTCTCAGAAATATATCAACGGTACCTGCAGAGCAGGACGTGCTTACCCTTTCCGGGACACCTGGTGTCTTTACTGATTTTCAATGTTCATATATAAGAGCAATATTTGGTTATGATTTGTATCACGTAAATATAGTATCACGAACGTGTGACTGTCACGCCTGCACATGTACATCTTAGTCAGTATACACACACAGAAAGATGCAACTATCACGTTTCTGTTATAGGTTACGGGGCACTGAGGGATGAAGAAGATGGATCGTATTTCATTTCAAGTCTTGTGAATGTATTCACAAAGTATGCCCATCAATACGATTTGGACAACATGATGTCTAAAGTGAGTCCGACTTTTAAATATATGAGTCCTGCATCCTGCTTGGGGTGGATCGTCATGATCAACACTTTGTGTTCGGCGAAATCTGTTCCTCAAATAACAATTAGTAATTTCGCCACAAACGATGACTGAGGAGGTGTGAGGTTTATACACTTAGGTCGGATATATTCAAGAAGGGATTGTATGGCAGATGTCAAAGAAAAATATAATGTAACAGGATAATGTGCCTTTGTAGGTTGCATTCGACGTTGAGCGCCTGACATCAAGGGATCACAGTCCTCAGATCATCGAGAGAAAATCAACCTTACTAAAGCAGCTGTTCTTCTTTCCAGGGATTTAGGGACATATCTGAAATCAAGAAATGTAGGTAATTGAACATTAGGACATAAAGCTTTACTTTTCATGAATTTAACCACACATATTAAGATTGTCATTTGATACAGGCGATCTTTTATTTAAGATAAGCCCATAATCAGCAATAATAGCGAAAAAAGGGAAATGTGTTGAAAGCAGAAAAATCATCAATTTCATATATTGACTTCAAATCAATTGTGACTATATGGGGATCGGGAGCCCGGTCTTCTGGGTGACGAGGTAAAGCTTTAACCAATCTGTTCTACTAGGAAGTGTCTTGTCATTTGATATCACATATGTCAACAAGCGTTGACAACAGAAGCAAGCTCTCAGGGTTGCCAACGTAGTTTAAATGCTTCATTCTTTGAGAGTTGCGGTATTTGATATCCAATTCGACTTTTCGACAATTGGGTCAAATGGGACCAACCATTTGATATTCTGGAGGAGGCCTAGGATTGTGTGTGGAGAGAAGATATTGTTTCAGGAACAGCTGCAAAAATAGGTATTTTTTAACTGAGAGGCTAAATTAATTTTGGAAAAAGAACCACATGGAAAAAAATATTTTCTGTGACTGACTGTATTATTTTAAACATTCCAAAGCACACCTATTTATTTCAAGCCTTTTCTGAGACAATATTTAAAACATGCAGGAAACACAACTATCAAATGGTCGGTCTCTTAGTGTATTATTGTCCATTATCATTCCGAGTACATACTTTTGAAATCAATTATTATATTTCAAGAGTTCATCAGTTGACGCATACTGTCATTTCTTAGTGAAGCGTCGAGTTTTTCAAGCGTAAAATAGACGGAAATTTCGTATTTCTGGCGTGCCTTGCTATAGTATCCGTCGTGCGCAGTGCAGCGAGATTTGCTGATAGGTCAGTTTTAGGATATGTAACATGTTAATGGAATTCAGACACGCGCCAAGAAGTCAAATCAAACAATGTTAGCAAGCTTATTGAGACAGCATATCCCTCCGCTATGCACAGTTACCTCTATGAGATAATGGGTAGTGTTTTATTTTGTAACAGTAACTAACTTTTCAATGTGCAATTTGCAAGATATCCGTTTTTTTCCATAGGACGAGAGGTCGGTCACATGACGTTTTTCACGTGACTGTATTCTTGAACTTAGCGTCTTAGCATTCTCTGGGATAAGTCAGAAAGTTTGATTTGCATGCCCGTTCAAGGATACACTTGTTACAACTCATCCCTGGAGAACAAGAAAAAACACCCAAAAAACAAAAATCCAAACTATCGTGGTGACAATCTACAGCAATCAATGAATTTACCTCAGTATATATTTGACACATATTTCTATGTTCGGCCAATTGATCAGTGATAACAAAGACTTGAAAAAGCCACAGGTTAATTAACAACTATCGAATATCCCCCATCACGTTTATCGTGTCAGCCATTTAGACGTCTTGTACTTGATGTAAATGTATTACGACGCTGTCATTGACTTACTGACGTAGTTCTTATCAGACCTTCTCATCTAATGAGGATATTTTTTGGAATACATTTCTTGTAAACAAACTAAAACAGATGTTCCTCGCTTTTGGAGGGAACTATTTTATTCCGGGATGGCCTATTAAAGCTAGTAGTAAGTCAAGGACCATGCGTGTATATGATCCGTTATTGTATGTATTGTTTTGGCGTTAATAAAATGTACGTGTTTAAAAAATACGGTTTTGGGCGTTAATAAAATACATCGACGCAAATATATTCTAATCAAATCAATTGGATAATTAAATATGCTTTCTTTTACATATCACATAACATCACTACCCAAAATTTGGACAGTTGCAGTAACACACTATGGTGATCGCATTAAACACCACTTTGAACAGTATTTCAGTTAAATCACGCTGTATCACACTGATATGGGATAAAATTCCGAAGTGGTTCAGGCCATTCAACGGGTGTTCGCGAAAAGTTGAGCGTATCCTGCCACAAAGGTGGCACCCGTCACAAACACGTGCAAGAATAAGTCAATTGTTCACCCGAACAGAGCACGGAAACACACAATGATGCCCGTCCTCACTATTGCGGAGCATGTAAACGATATTGTCCGTCAAAAACACGGACGAGTATAAACAAAATGTTCCTACAGGTAATACATATCATAATTTGACAAAATGTATTGACTCAGAGCATTATTGTTAATCACAGCGTATAGACTCTGCATGCAGTTGAACTGTTCAGCCATTCCATTATTGATAATCCTTCTTGAAGAGTTATAAAATCAGAAGCTGCAATAGCACATTTCTACACTTTATCTTTCAATTGGCATGTTAGACTTCTATTTCGTAACTCAGTTTTATTTGCACGGATCACTATGGGATCTTGGAAGGGACATTGTCGCGTTGTCGTATTGTCCCATTGTCGCATTGACGCCCTTACCAAAAAAAGCAAAACTTGTCAAAATTAACCAAAGCTCGCACAACGCCACATTTTGGCCATTTGTCGCATTGTCGCTCTTTGAATAATCTGTGTTTAATAAATAGTTTTTGTTTGATTGTTTGTTGTTAAACGCCGCACTCAGCACTATTCCAGCTATATGACGGTGGTTTGTAAATAATCCAGTCTGGGCCAGACAATCCAGTTATTGACATCAAGAGCATCGATCTACGCAATTGGGATACGATGACATTCATCAGCCGAGTCAGCGAGCCTGACCACCCGATCATGTTAGTCGCCTTCGTACAAGCATGGGTTGTTGAAGGCCTATTCTAACCCGGATAATTTTCACGGAAAATCTTTTTCAATTGAATTCTGTATATGCCCCTGATAAGTGTGTATAAGTAGATGGATAATACATCTATCTATACACGCCAACTAAATGGGTTAGACTGCATGCATATGGTTCAATGATGAGCTCTTTTACAAGTCAATATTTCAAGACATGTATTTGCTACTCATAGTAACTCCACAAAAGCTACACAATGGCGACAAAACGGTACCAGCATCATAGATACCAATAGTACAATTTCGAACATGAGATACATATAATTACTTTAAAGTTAAAACATGTATCTAAATAGTAAATTAGAAGGATTAAAATTATACACTTCCGACATTTTTCGTATTTTGTTTTCGTTTTGAGAGAGTTGTAGTGACAGTAGTGACTGGTATCTGAAGGGTGCAAACAGGTGTCGAGTCGCTGTCTCAAATTTCGTAGCTCTAAAGGTCACGGCGGCGAAACAGACCGTGAGGTAGTTTGCTTCACAGTCCCTGAACCATATTATTTTCCCTTCCGCCCAGGCCTTACTGCAATGCAATAGCCCCAAATGAAACAAGCATAGATGTTCAACAAGTTCCGGCTGAAATTCTAATCCCACTGGGACTCCTTTTAAATTTTAATATAGTTTCTCGTTTACATCCAACTGATATATTTTCAGAGACTAACCGTAAAGTACAACTATCCAAAAGATCCCATGCCTGTCTATATTTCTACAGACAGACTCTCCATATGCATGTTCCTATCGATATATATCAAACGTTAAATATTACAACACTGGTAAATAAGTTAAATGCGCATGTCAGCGTCGATCCTACAATATCCTTTAGCACAAATTACATATATACTGATGAATTAACGTAGTAATTCTACGCAAATATGTCCAGATGTATGCATCAGTTTCATCTCGTGATCTTTATTCGTGCTTTTAGCTCTCTTTCTATAGGAAATTATGGGATGTTACATCACACTAGAAAGCCGGCATTTCTTCTGTATGTATTTATATATGTAAATATCGTTTAAATGTCAACACTGATGCAGTGAACGTACCACAGACGTGATGCTTGAATAACATCTCTGAATTAAACATATTTTACAGAAAAAAACCAGTTGTAAAACAATAGTTATAAAATATAATAAAAAGACGCCAAGAGACTTTCTTCATTTTGCCAAATATTGGGTTGTATATTTTTCGAGGTCTGTATGACAGACAAACCTGATGTTTTTAGGTATAAAGATAAGTAAGTTTAGCTGTTGCATATAAATTCAAATATGTTTGTGATTAACCCAACCTTGAAAAATATTCTAAGATGAGTGGTCACTTTTTATGTCATGATTTCAAATTAAAATGATAGCACAGCAGGAAAGCATGACACTTTAATATACTTATCTTGTTAACCCAATAGTTTTTTTTAAAGAAAGAGCAACATGTATATCGAGAGTATACGTTTGTTGCGTGACTTATCACAAATTAGTTTCAATAATGACAATAATATCATAATAATATCATCATTATTTATGTTAATTATCCTCAACTGAAGTAGTCCTCCACACTGTACATTCAAAGAAGACATCCATGAGCATATTAACTACATGTATGTGACATACATTAATGGAAATTAGATGAACAATTGAAATTAGCAAATGATATTATTCGGCCGAACGTCTATAAGCCAATACTGCATTATTGAATTGTGAGCCTACGGTGATTTGTGCAAGGCTACTCTCATACATGTCATGACGCATTTTAGGTCAGGGTTCTATACTCGCATTGATGTGCTGACGTATTATTGCGTTAATTTTAATATTTACAGTATTCATGACGAACATTTCACGTCGGACCAACCGAGGGAATTATGACTATCGTCTTGCTAATTATGTTTGATATTCATGCTAGCTCAAACGATCTATTGATTTGATTAATTGTTGGGGTATCCACAAAATAAGTAGGATCCGGATTTTTTCCCGTTTTTGTTGTTCTGTGTTTAACGCCGCACGCAGCATTATTAAGCTATATGGCGGTTGTCTGTAAATAATCGAGTCTGGACCAGACAATCCAGTGATTGATATCACGAGCATCGATCCACGAAATTGAGATACAATGACATGCATCAACCAAGTCAGCAAGCCCGACCACCCGAGACCTATTCTAACCCGGCTCTTCACAGGATTCAACTGATATTAAGATGAAATAAAACTGAATTATATTTGCTGTTTACATTTTTGCCAAATTGTTTCAAAATGTTTGGCCACAGCAAGGCTACATATTCACAACATATTGTGCTGGGCACAGTATAACCGAGGGAGGGCCGTATTCCTCCTTGTGGGTCACCTGCTTGGCAATATGGGACGGGAAACTGCAGGGGGTGAGGGCAGTTAAGTTGATGGTACAGACAGATAAGCGAGATCATTTTAGAAATGTGAAACCTCATTCCAAAAAGGAAGAGGCGAAAGCTGAAACTTGGTGAGATTTACAGAACAAAGGCAGTTATTTCTAGTTTCTTACTGACTCTCGAGGATACATGTAATAAAACAATAAAAAGTGTGTGTGTGTGTGTGTGTGTGTGTGTGTGTGTGTGTGTGTGTGGAGAAAAAGAAGAAGAAGAATTGTACAGCATAAAAAATGGCTACGTAGTTCGGGTGGATATGCCGAATGCCCGGCCAGTATGACCTTTGAGACACGTTAAGAAGTGATACACATAAGGAAGAAAATATATGGATGTCAACGTCTTTATTATGAGGAACACATCGTTTCGGAGTATATACTTACTCCTTCATCAGGTGAATAAATGCAATGAGACAAAGAACACAGGGATCATCTTCAATTTAAAAGGAATTACTTGTTTCTTTGAAAACGATACAGTTTTAGAGGCAGCGTCAAACTCCGGCCAGTAATCTAACACGCGAGAACTGACCAATGAAATTTGAGAAGTAGAAATACCGGTAGACGCTGTTGCTTGATTGACAAAGTCAATGTCAATCAAGAAAGGGAGGAGCTTGATAATATCGTTCTCAACCTGTAAATTCAGTTGTCAAATAACGACGTTATTTGGACGGAAAAACGATGGTTTGAAAGCGTCCAAATGACGTCGTTTTTCAGTCCAGTGACCACAAACGACGTTTCGTGTTTGCAGTGTTTTAAGATCAAACATTAATTAATTGATGATAAAGTTCTTTTTATGAAATCCGTAGAAAGGACAAAGAATTTCAAGTTGATTTCAGCCTTTTTTCACAACGTACATGTATGGAAATGGCACAGGTTACATGTATTTCTGATAATTGAAATCATTCAACAAAGTTTCGTATTCAACAAGTGTTCATTTCTTATTGATTAATTCAAATCCCGACGCAATGAATGCATGTTTCTAGACGAATTTAGATACGTTTGCTAAAATGGTTTCAAATACGGTTCTTACCCTCCACTACAGTTGTTTTTGTATCTCTGACATAACCCATATGGTGGGCATCATCCTATCCAGTAGGTAAAGAACTAGCGTTATCTCTCACGCCGCCGTCTGGCAGGTAAGGGACGGTTGCGACATTTCCCTTTTCAAGATGGTTATTCATGCACGTCATATTTAGTCATGAAGTACTTTTACTTCAACACCGTTTACGGACCAGTCATTTGTCAGCGTGGACAATGTTTTTTCATGATTAGGGTTGAAGTTAGATACTGGAGTTAAATTATTCCAAATGTTGTTTTCTTCAGACTTTTCTCTCAGGTTTAATTGCTCAATACTAAGAGCCTTTCGTATGCTATCTTCAATTAGCTTAGCGGGTAATTTTGATGCAGCAGGAAACTCTAATGTCGTGGTATACCATCAAATGGATATTACACTGAATGTAGTTTTTGCCAAGGCTTGTGACGTCTCAAATGAACAGATGTCGCAGTTAATGGAATGTAAACAAGTGCATGTGTACATATAAATCTATCAACCAACATGGCTCTACAAATAAGAACATCAGTTAATATAACACAGTTCTGTTCTCCGTATACACTGTGGTGTGGAACCAACAATTTACATTTATCCACGTTTTATAAACAAAAGCGTATTCCCAAAATTACTTTAAATACTCGGTATTATATTAATCACGTACCCATATCCTGACACGCATTCTGAGTGGCCTGCGCCGTTTAGACGCTTCGGCATGCCTTCGAGAAGGGGACGAGCCTTGTTATAGGGTACGGAAACATGCATGTGGTGCCGAATGATATATTCGTCTGATACGTAATGTTCAAGAATATTTCATTTATATAACAAGGTGCATGTCCATGTGAGTGAGGCTGCTTGTACTACTCCAATATCATTGACAACCCAACTGATATACCATGCCACAGTTTAACTTGGATAGCCCACACAGACACATTTTACTGACTCTATAGCTCGCCAGTCCCTGCCTCATCTCCTTAATGCCGAGCGCCAGGCAGGGTAAGAGAACCGTCTTCTGATATGACGCAGTCCGGGATTGAACAGCTGTCAGGGAAGATGTTCTATCCACTTCAACACGGATGGAGTTTGTTGCACATGTGACACCCGTATTACCGGTATAGTATAAGTAAACACTTGCCTTGGGGTAGGATGTGATATGCTTATGATGAATTCAGAATTGAACATTGGAATCTGCTTTCAGCAGAGACTTCTTATGCTCATTGAAATGGTCCTGTCGCTTTTATATACGAACGTCAGTATATCAGCTCAACGACCTATATATTTAGAAAACATCTGGCATCATCACTATTTGATGGCGCTTCAGGAACACATGTTCGTGATATAGTCGGAATCGTACAATCGACTCTGTAATTGGCAGAGATTTCTTATAAATAAAGCGTTTGTCGCTTTTATTTACATTTTCGTTACTACATACATAAGTCACGGGAATTATTTATACTTACACCTCTTATACATCTATCTAATCTAATACCATTTATTCTGTAAATATATTGTCATGTTCTTCATAAAGGCTGGATAGATTTCACGACGCGCAGTCATTTTGTTTACAAGGATATTAAAGTTGACATCAAATTCCAGACAAATCAAAAGATCAGGAGAGAGTTCTTAGATTTCAGAAAATATTTAGTGTTGTCAGCGCACGACATGTAAGTAGTAATGCTTAATTTAAAGATTGATGGAATATATGGTCAAAGTGTAATGGATGCTACCGGAGGGGCAGGATACGATCACCCTTTTGCGAACACCCCTTATTTGATAGTGATTCATCAAGACATGCTAATGATTCGGTTGAAATCGTACAATGGACTCTGCTTTTAGTGGAGATTTCGTAAAATTGTGGAACTGTTTTTTGTCGCGTTTATTTACGAAGGTCAGTTTATAAGCTCAGCGACTTATGTAGGGTTACCTTACATATTCTTAAATACGTAAGTCTGTACACGGTTTAGTGAACCATTTTTACTTTTGTAGCCTTTATCAATCCATCAAACTTAATACAAACACTTATTTATTCGTATTACATGTATATCATTTACGTTTTCATCTCTATCATATATGGTCATAACTTTTTCATACTCCTTGTAGATCTTTTCATCTGGACGAGCTTTGATACATATTTCTTCTCTTTTTTCAATACATTCATTAATGAAGATCTTGTATTCAGCAGATGAAATTTTGCCTTCAATTGCTGTTGCCAGGAAAGCACGGATCTTAAGCTCTAAGGCTTGCCACCCTGCGGCTGCCACGTTGTAACGCATGCTTCTGTCTTCGTAATATGACTTCAGAACTTCACTGGATACCAGAAACACAATGCAACTCGCCAGGATACCTGCAATAACCTGTGCGACAATTGGAGCCTGCTTTATCGATGACACGATTTCTGGTAAATTTTCCTCTACTATTTTCGACAGATATTTGTGTGTCATGATCCCAACAACAGCAACGACCATCACTTTAATAACTGCAAATAATATATATAAGCATTCATTTGTACTTGAAGTTTTGTAGCACAAGATGGCTGCTCTGCGGCTTCTGACTTCAATTTCTCTTAAAAGCCTAATGCTTTCTCTGATAGCTGTTGCTTCATCTTTACATTGATCTAAATATGGTTTACTTGGTCTGAAACAAAATAAGAAATAGCAGCACTTTGTTATCTGCATCAATATAATAAAACTATGAATACTTTGCTTTGCTGAAAGGCATTGTCCACATTTCCCCGGAGTGAAAGAGCATTATTGTACTGAATGGTTGTTGCGTTTCTTGTCATACCTTGTCCTCACCTCAGCATTTTTCTTGTAGCTTCATCTGTTGTGGAAGATTGACCATGATTACTTTTACCGGGTCTGAAACAGAAGCCACATAACCCAAAATGTTGTTATCTGTATTAGTGTCAAAAACTTATTACAGAGTAAAGTGCAATTTGTATTTGAAGTTTTGTAGCACATCAGTGCTGCTCTGCGGCTTCTGACTTCAATATTTCTTAAAATCATAATGCCTCTTTTCTAATAGCTGCTGATTCATCTTTACATTGACCGAAATATGCATCACCTGACCTGAAAAGAATTCAAATGCAGCAAAATATTGTTATCTGTATTAGAATCAAGAAACTATTACATGAGTTATGTGTAATTTTAATGTTAAAGATAAATGCCTGCGTAAAAATCATAAGTCATAAACCACATTTTCACAGTGGGGACGAGCATTGCTGTCCTGTATGAATATAGAGTTTCCAGTAACGCATTGTCCTCACCTAATGGTTTCGCTCATCCCTGTTGCTTCATCTTTGCATTGTCTGTGACCGGTATTACCGGATCTGAAGGGAAATCAAATGTATTAAATTATTCTTAGGAACGTGTAATGTTGCCATCATTATTGAATTAATTATATCTTGTATACTGTTTCCTTGTTTTCGTTGCGGCATATTGCATAAAAGTCTGGGATGGTGACAATGACGTGAGACCACTTTTGCTCTATCCTGAACCAGAGTGTTACTTTGTTTTGTGTACAGAAATATATATATGTCATTTATATGTTATGTCGCATTGAATGAGGTGTGTCATTAAATGCTAATTTAAGTTATGTTATGTTTCCAGTGTGTTCCTTCGTATATTTTTCTCTGTGTGACTAGTATCAGTACGATATTATTCATAACAATTATGTATGAGGTAACCTTATCAGATTTCTTACCGTGTTCTTGGCATGTGGTTTTTCTCCTTGATCTATGACTTCACTATCAAGGTGACAGTCCTGCAAACATTAACATGTTCACATCAACGAAAATGTATGAATGGCACGTACATGTATGAACATACTGGCAAGAGGCAACCGGTAGTGTAGCTGTTTGCATGTAAACTGACGCCAGACATTCACAATGGCATTAAATGAAAGCCAAGGTGCATTTTTGTGTATATGAACACGTGACCCATCTGTTTGATAATTAGATCTATTTATAACGAGTAAGATTGACAAAACATATTCACAATATTGTATGACAAGAGGGATGACTTTAATCTGCCAATATACAACTTTATGTAGAACAATATTCCAGCAGCCCGATTCTTTTATGTCTACATTTCACAACTTTTGAGGTACAATAGGACATTTCTCATGGACCCGCACCTGAGCACATCCCTATGTTGGGCGTAGTTGTATTGCGTTTGGTATGCATTCAGTGCCGATTGAACACGTCAACGCCTCGATTATCTGCCGAAACAGATTCCAAACGTTAAATAGAAAATCATATTTGAAAATCATATGAATGGATCACTAACAGTCAATTTGTTTTTAAAGATACATACAGAAAATTCAATCTGGAACTATTGTGAGCTGTAGCTACTAGAGACAATCACACAGGGTCAAAGACTGCAGACGTGGGTCCACAAATCACTGAAAATCCGAGTAATCTACCCATGGTACATTTCATGCATTCAGCATGCAAATAGTGTCATAAAACTTACTACAGTTTAAAAGCAAACAGAGTATCATTAATTGTATCAACACCTAAGAACGATATGCCATTACCAATGTATGAACGTTTCATATAAAGCAGTATAATAGTGCATGATAAAACTTAATAAAGTGATCAAATAGGTTCAACATATTCAATGAAGGCCTCATCTAAAGATGTTCAAAACCTGCTCCGACAAGAAGAAACTATTGCCATATTTGACAAAAGAGAGAATGCTTCTAGATCTTTGCCAGGAAGATCTGAACCAGTATGATTTGACGGATGAGGATGAGAAGTATAGAATCATGGGCATCATCAAAGACTTCAAAAAAGGAACACTAAAATTGAATGGAATTCGTCAGGAACAGGTTCAAAGCAAGCATCAGGTGCTCCTTATGCATAGTAAAGTATCATTTCTAAGATGCATTATTTTGATACACTGTTGCAAAGTCAGTTCAAGACATACAGATATATACCCTACACTGTACAAGAAATAAGCTAGGTCTTCGTTGACTTGATTCCAAAATATTATTAGTTAGAAACATGATATGTAGTCAATACATGATCGCAACAACATTAAATAATCTCTCCATGACACGCTGTATTTGCCTAAAAGCCAATGTATATAAATGGCTTCCACAGTATAGGTCTTTAAGAAAACTCATATTTCACTCCCCAAAGGAGCTCGAGAAACAATGTTTTACATTTGCACTTCATCTAACAAAATAGATAAGTGTGGCCATATTTGCCTGCACAACCAAAATATTGCATTTGTGAAATGTCTGTACAAACGTGCGTATAACCGTGTGATATAATTTACAAACATACTCATAACCCATGTAGATTAAAAAACACCAGCCTTACGTACAATGAAATGTGAGAACAATATACGATAGGCAGTCAATAGGTCGTTCAATTTATTATTGATAATAAGAGCTCATATAGATCTAATGAATGAAATATACGTATAGGGGTTAGTCAAACTATCCCAGATGAAAATTACAACAGCTTGCAAACAACTATGAACGCACAATGACCTATGCCTTTACAACATTAGACAAAACACAGTGAAGTCAACGAGCCTGGCCAACCGATGGGTTATCCACAGACCGGATGCTGGCAATCTAGAATTTCCCATAATTCCCTAGGAATAATGGTAAATGAGCAAGCATGTGTATTATTCGAGTCAGTGGAACACGTTGTTTTTTTAATATTTCGCATCCTGTTAACAGACATTTAAAAGCTTACAGTATGCCTTGATACAGATTAAAAAAAAAAAACAATGAAGAAAGTGTTTTTAACGTGTAAGAGTTCTGCTTTACCTGTTAGCATTCATCGTATCCTGCCCGCCGATCCATTCGCACATGATGCAGATCGATGTCTCGGTTCAATGTAATAGCTGTATGCACACATCCAGAAATGTGACGACGAATACTGGCATTTGCCAAATGTGCATGTAACATGGGAGAGAAAATTTATTGATCGACTCCACTGACAAATACATGTAACCATGGCTACGGCAAACGATTTCTCCTGGTTTAAGATTGCTCATGTGTGCAGACTATGTCATACCGACCTGGTGACTTTGTTATCACACAATTCACCCACAACCTTTTTTTCACATACATTGTGCTATATGTATGACGACGAACCATTCGATCATCAGTAACATGTCGGGGCCTTGCTGAGGTTGGTGGCTTGATATAACGGTTATTTGATTTAGTTATAAGACTGATGAAGAAAGCATTCAATTCATTAGTTAGGGGAGATGGGGGAGGGGGTCGCAGGCGGGATGGGGATTGGGGTGTGTGTTATAGCGATGTCCACCCTCCTCCCTGTTTTCCAGAGCAGAACACCCGAACCGTTGAATATATGTTGTTTAAACTTGCTACACAGATCAGTCAAGTGGTGTACTGGTGCCTTTTAATGATTTCGGATTCTTATTTCTTTTGTGTGTGTGTGTGTGTGTGTGTGTGTGTGTGTGTGTGTGTGTGTGTGTGTGTGTGTGTGTGTGTGTGTGTGTGTGTGTGTGTGTGTGTGTGTGTTTGTGTGTGTGTTTGTGTGTGTGTGTTTGTGTGTGTGTGTGTGAACTCCAAGAGCGTTGTTATATTTTAGATGAACTTTGCTGTACAGATCAGTCTTGAAGTTAACTAGTGCGTTTTCATGATTTGGTCTACTGAAGTATACTGAACAGCATTACTGTGTTCTTCACTGACCTGGAGGTGCCCAATGGCATAAGTAGCTAAATTCGATTTCGAAATTGCCCCGGAATGTGGGGTCAGGTCATCTCCTGGTGACCCTTGTTGCATAATGTGCTTTGTCGCTTTAATCATTATCGCTTTTATTAACTCGCACGCCGTCTGAAGTATTAATTGTGCCAGAATACCATATAACACGTCCCATTTTAATTCTGGAAACCCAAAAGTCCAGAAACTCTACGCTCTTTGCCCAGTCTCGGTTAAAGGTATTTACAAAATTAAACATGCCGTTTTCATGGGAACATACTAAGGAAGAAAAAATGAAAAAAAAATTGTTTAAAAACTCAATATTTAGACTATGTCGCCCATGGGCCTGCCCATGGGCGAAGTCTGGCCCATGGGTAGGCCCATGGGCAGGCCCATGGGCGAGAATATGTTCCTTTACTTAAAACTCATGTTTTTGTTTCGCAAATACATTTAATGTATTCATTCAAGTATCATGACACAAAATTTAACTCATTTTAACTTAATTCAACGATTTTATAACGATATTGAAATATTTCGCCCATGGGCGAGAAAAAGGTTTGGCCCATGGGCGAGAATATGTTCCTTTACTTAAAACTCATGGTTTTGTTTCGCAAATACATTTAATGTATTCATTCAAGTATCATGACACAAAATTTAACTCATTTTAACTTAATTCAACGATTTTATAGCGATATTGAAATATTTCGCCCATGGGCGAGAAAAAGGTTTGGCCAAAGGGCGAGTATATGTTCCTTTACTTAAAACTCATGATTTTGTTTTGCAAATACATTAAATGTATTCAATGAAGTATCATGACACAAAATTAAACTCATTTTAACATAATTCAACGATTTTATAGCGATATTGAAATATTTCGCCCATGGGCGAGAAAAAGGTTTGGCCCATGGGTAGGCCCATGGGCGAGAATATGTTCCTTTACTTAAAACTCATGTTTTTGTTTCGCAAATACATTTAATGTATTCATTCAAGTATCATGACACAAAATTTAACTCATTTTAACTTAATTCAACTATTTTACGGCGTTATTAAAATATTTCGCCCATGGGCGAGAAAAAGGTTTGGCCCATGGGCAGGCCCATGGGCGAGAATATGTTCCTTTACTTAAAACTCATGTTTTTGTTTCGCAAATACATTTAATGTATTCATTCAAGTATCATGACACAAAATTAAACTCATTTTAACTTAATTCAACGATTTTATAGCGATATTGAAATATTTCGCCCATGGGCGAGAAAAAGGTTTGGCCCATGGGCGAGTATATGTTCCTTTACTCAAAACTCATGTTTTTGTTTCGCAAATACATTAAATGTATTTATTCTAGTATCATGACACAAAATTTAACTAATTTTTACTTAATTCAACTATTTTACGGCGTTATTAAAATATTTCGCCCATGTTTTCGTCAGTCCCTTTCAAGCATCAACTAACTGTTTGCAAAGTATATTGTATCATGTGAAATATACTTTATATTATATCATTACATGACTATTTAAAAAGGGCATTTGGTTGGATGTTTCCTTTAGTTCTACAAATTTCACCTGTTTTACATATTGTAGCGATCTTTAATGAACCCGGCCTTACCTCTCAAAACGTTTTGACAGTTTATCATACGAATTCATGTGCGTTTACTCCAATTCATTGGAGTGATTTTCCACAACATTAAATTTTAGTTAGTTTCTATTTCATTTCCCATTTAATGTCCCGTTGATACATCACACTGGGCAATTACGTGACACCAGGTATGCAATATACAGGTACGCGTGCGCGTATTTTAATGAAAAAAACTATTCGTCTTTTATTGCATAACGTTTGGCTGAATATCTTACATTCTAATGAAATCTCGAAATAATTTTTTAATTACATGCGGTTTCGAACTGACCAGTGGGAATTATGTTTCAATGCGATTAAGGAAAACGTGAGTGAATATTGTGACACTAAAGCAACTTTTAACTGCATTGTCACTTTTGGTATGAAAATGGTAACAGTTCAGAAAAAACAACAGCCTTCTTATGATAATTCTCATTAGTACGTTGTATCTAATTACAGTGTCGGCCTTATTTACAGGTGATTCAACAATACTTGTTGTCGGTCAATTACAATCTGCCACACCACGCGTGAATAAACAGTTATGCAGGTGTTGCTGTGGGCAAATACCTAGCCTGAAAATGTTTATTTTTTTTAGGATACATGTTTTACAAATGTTCGTTGATATGTGGATATATTAAGCACAAAGACAAAAAAATGTTTATGAAAGATGAATTAGTGCCTTGATATATTCATCGAGATGTGTATCATCGTGTAATGGGGTCATTCAATAAACGTATGTTTGGAGGAGATATCAAAGGAGCCGCCCAATATACACAGTGTCGTCCGGTGAACTACCACCCCACCCTGTCCATTAGAGTTATGTACTCGGTACACAAATATATTTGATGCGGTGTCAGTACGGAAGGAGTTTGAATTACGTCCGCCAGTTGTCACAGAAATCCTCAAAGTATAGAAACAATAAACAAGGTCAATCCGTACTAATTACCTAGTGACGCACGTAACAACGACTGTCAATAGGGAAAATGGTGAAAACAAATTGAAATAGATTTTAATAAAACATTATTGTACTACATAACTCGCAAAAGCGGTGCCTAAAATTGTTTGACCGTGTTATGTGTGTTGTAAACTGACGAATAGCAAGTAATTGTCATGCTGTACGCATGGTTCAATATACAAATTCAGTTATACAACCGGTATGAAACTGAGAACTGAGATACCAAGTACAACCTGCATTCACACACGGAAGCAATATACTTGTGTGTATGCCATCTCCTCTAAAAAATGTATCACTAAAGTATTTGCATTGTAATAAATATAGTAATGATAAAACTTGGTAATTTGGTAGGTCTCCGACAGATATGATTTTCAGTTTTTTTACACCTTTGATTGATACGGATTACGTACCTGTTGTCTAGTCACTGTCTCTAATGTATCTGCTTGTTAGAAATTTCAAATGTCTTGTTATAGCACTGTTCCTAAAATACGGCAGTTTCTTTTATCGGGTATAAATAGTTGATTCGTCTTGTCACGCAGTCATTTTTTACTTGATCGAATGATTTCCACAAAAAATTACGGCAGAGAGTTTTGTATTTTATTATATTTTTAGAAGATTTTAGAAGATGCTTACATCACTGTATCTCAGAACGTAAAACTGATAACATTCATACATGTAATTAGTACACAGTTAATTGTTACATATAATTTCCTGCATATTCCTTTTTGAACAAAAAGCCTACATGTATACTGATATCGGTGTCCACTGTTAAAAGGGTATTAGTGCAGTCAGCCATGGTAAATGGAGAGACAATAATAAGGTGATTAATTATAGTCTGTTGCAGAATATGCGGTATAAGTGTAGTCATTGATACATATACACATTACACATATACAGATGAAATATACGATATGATGCAGTGCAAGAACAAATTAAGATACGGTTTCTATTAAAAATAATTATACGATTTTGGATTTAATTAGCATGTTTAAATTTTCAGGCCAACACGGCTGAGATACAGCATCGGCATACTCAACTGGAGTTGTTTTCTGCCGGTCGTAAGTTCATTGTTTGACTGAGCACACTCGTGTCGGGGTTTCGATATTTTCTTCTCTTTGTTGGCAGCCTGCCACCGGTCTGAATTTTGAGAAAGGTCTCAGCATGGGACTGTTAATTACTTCTTAATGATGTCTACAAGCTTACAAACTTGTAGATGTTGGGTGCGGTTAGGACCAAACTTTTTCAGCTCAGAGTGTTAGTGGTCCTGGTACCCATAGTGTCAAACTGGTTCTGCACAAAACGTCCATCAGATTCTACTGTTCAGCAACATTGTCACTGAATTTCAGAACTCTGGCATGATATAATAATCAAGGATTTCGAAGGTGAACGAGGGGAAAGGCAGACGCACGTGGATTTACCCTCAGGTTATTATTGTCTGGAGTTCACATTTTGGGGCATTTCATATACTAATTGAACAGAGTTCACCTGCACATGTCCACTTTAGTGATACAGACTGTAACCAAAAATGCAATGAGCCGTAGCTCTTAATCCCTTATAACAACGGTAACAACAACCAGGGTGAGGACACAGTAAGGTTAAACCGTGTCCAACAGACAATCTGAGGTGGCTATCTCCCATCAAGTCAGCTCTGTTTTTAAGCGC